TCTAATTCGTTGAAAACTTCAACTTAACAAAGCAGCAGCAGAATTTTGCACATATACATGTCAAAGAAATATGGGCAACATGAATGGTAGTACTAGTAACAGCAGCAGTAGTTGAGGAGGACGCAGGAGTAAGATGGAAAGTGAAATGGGGAAATGTAGTAGCAGTCGGACTGAAGTGAGTGGAAATTGAGGAGGAGGAGGTCAGAGAGATGGAGATGCTGGGGGCCCCGGGGGCTGTTGTCTGGTGATATTAAATAAAAATGATTCAATGAAAAAACTATGAAGGGGTGAGTGAGGAGTAATTTTGAGCCCCCAAAAGGCAGGAGTAGAGACTGTAGTGTACAGAGATGGAGTGGTAAACTACTAATTTACAAAACTGAAGACAGACCGAAGAAGGGAAAGTGAGACTTGAGAGAGACCGGTGAATTTCTGAGATTGTGGATCAACTACCGACTAACGGGCACACACTTGAGACTTTGGACTTGAGAGAGAGAGAGTAGTGTCATCGCCATTCTTTTTTTTTTCGGAGACGACAACTATAGTATATTTTAATCTATTCTATACTAGGGGAAGAGAGGTCCAGAAATAATACGGAGGAGACTGAAGCATCACCGAATCAAACAGGTGCATTACGCATTCATCTGAATTTTTTAAAGTAAATCCACATTTTTAATATGATAATCGGTGGAATGCAAGATTAAAGGCTTGATGGTGTCATCACCATTCGGCACTGACTGATATACTGCTACTATTACCTTCTTCTACTCCCCACCGCAGTTGATTTCCTCTTTTTGGTATAAATTCCCTGTGTTTCGTGACTACATTAGACTTTGACACCCAACACAAGTTAGACAATTGATAAGGATGGGACATAGTAGGGATGTATTCGAATATCTTATTCGCTGTTAATGCAATGGCTGTATTGATGGATTATCTGTGAAAACTCTATAAGCAACTTATATTTCGTGATGGTGATCGAAGTCGAGCCAACGATTCATAAGAACTCTATAACTGGATTTTCCAAAAGAAGAAGACATGTTACCATTTTTTTGATGTTAGTAAACCGGACATCTTGATAGCGCAACTGAGGGCGTTTGCTACCAGATTCATAATGGTTGCGTTGATGTCAAAAAAATGGTTCAATGCAATTTTCATGTCATTCAGCTTATGCTTTTCTAGAGTCTGGAGACGAAATTTCAATGCCTAAAACTGGATTATTCTCTAACACTCGCTAAAATTAGTGCATGAAGTGGACCTTCATCATGGGCTCTTTTTTTATCAGCGCTGCTGCCTAACATTGGCTGATTTCAACATGATTCTATTCGATGTGCAGTGAAGCAGAAGCATATTCAGTCACTGCAAAGTTCAAATTGAACCATGCCATAGATGGTAATATTGAGCATGTGGCTCTTGTTTGCTGGCAATTTTGGTTCAGCTTGAGAGTGACCAACTCCTCCTCCTCTAGTTTCTTTCCGGCCGGGGGTATCTTGCACATGCCCTCTACTTGTGGATTTGGTATGGAGCTCTTTTCACTGTCCTACATCTAACACTTTCCTTATCCCCATCAATCATATATATACATATATATATGGTCCACGACCTCTTTTTTTTTTTTTTTTTTTCTTAAGAAAGACACATATGCACCACCACCAACTAGGGGTGTACTCGAGCCGAGTCGAGCTCAAGTATTGCTATACTCGAGCTCGACTCGGCCTATATATAATTATATTCGAGCTCGAGTTCGATCGAGTCGGAGAATCTCAACTTGAGTATGACTCGAGAAAATCCTTAAAAGTTCGAGACTCGACTCGATAAGGCTCGACCTTGAATCGAGCCTTATCGAGTCGAGTAAACTGATCAATCGAGCTTTTTGAACAATCTTGTAAATTCAGTATAAATTATACCCATAACGGTCATTTTATAATTATAATACATATATATTATTTAAATTATACTACTCGATGAGTAGCTCGCCCTACCAACAACAACCCTATTGTGTATGTGTGTGTGGACTCTGGAGGTCTGATGGAACTGTTCTTGTGGTTAAGCTTCAGATGACAGTGTGATCATATAGCAATAGCATCGCCTTCCAAAGTAGTAAAAGCTTAATGCATGCATGCGCTAGCTACTCCAGTTACTTTTTGTCACAGCAAAAATTCTGCAGAAAAAATATATATATAGCTCAAAAGAGAGAGTGGATTCCCTGGCAAGCACTTTCTTGGAAGCGCCAAAAATCAGGCAATTCTTTCACACATATTCCTCTTATCGGAAAAAGATCTTAAAAGTGGCTGCTTGCTTAGATTCACAGATGATTATAATAAAATGCTTCTTCTGCTTGGCAATTGGCATCTATACAGTGGCTGGTACTTTAAATAGCTTCCAACCAAAGAGCAGATGCTATGCTCTTTGGTTGTGCTTTTTGGCTAAAGATCCCAAGTGCCTACTGGCTTCGGACTCTCAGCATACCCTGCCACATAAACCTCAATTAAAAGTCTCATCAAATTAGAAATTAGATGGAAAATATTTCACACCACCAAACAATCCCAAATGAGTAGGGGTTTGAGATTTTTTGCTAATCTCTTATTTTTAACCTTATCAAACCAAGTAAATCGCCATGCAACCGAAAGTTTGAACGACAGAAAATATAGGATTGAATGGTTTTGGTTGATGATTTTTTTTGGGGGTTGGGGTTGAAATGGTTCCATTGCTCTTGTACATACAAATATTGGTAGTGATATGGAATTTGCATAGCCACCTGCCCAACATGAAAAGAGGCAAAGTTCGAAGAATAAGAAAAAGAAGATCCTGGTCCAAAAATCTTTAGGGAGTGGCCAGCAAGTTTAGAAGCTATCCTCGACGGGCCGTGTCGTGTGAGCCCAACTGCTTCAATCGTCGTACTTAGAGATGTAATCGAGCCAAGTCGAGCTCGAGTAGTGCTATACTCGAGCTCGACTCGACTCATATATTCCTAGGCTCGAGCTCGATCGAGTCAAAAAAATTGATACTCGAAACTCGACTCGATGTACTCGCGAGTAGCTTGAAACTCGACTCGATAAGACTCGATAACGAAGGGTATTTTGTAAATTCCATATAACTTATACCCATAATGGTCATTTTATAATTATAATACATATATATTATTTAAATTATAAATATATTATTTAAATAACCCTGGCTCGACGAGTAGCTCGACGAGCCTCAAGCCGGGGATTTTTGACTCGAAACTCGACTCGATTTTCATTCGAGCTACTCGAAACTCGGCTCGAACTCGATCAACCCGAGTTCGAGCCAAGTCGTTGACCAAGCTACTTGCGAGTAGCTCGTGAGTAGCTTGGCTCGCATACACCCCTAGTCGTACTTGAACCAACTACACACTTTGTTTTGTTTGGGAAGGGGGGGAGGGGGGGGGGGCGCTGGTTCAAACTTTGGAATTGGAAAGGGAAATGGAATAATGGATAGAATGAGACTTTTGGTCAATTTCTCTCAATTTCGTCGGTAATCATAAATGGCCAAATTTTAAGATATGATTTCAATATTTCAATTCCCATTTGCACTAGACCAAGCGGTCCCTTACTTTTCCCAGCCCATAACTTTTACTACTACTTAGTTTCATTTCGGGATTTGATAAAAAATAAAAAATCTAAATTCTCAAGTCTGAAAATTGAGAGCATGTTCAAAGTCACGGTTGCAGTCCAGACAGTTTCACATCGATCTCAGCATATTGATCACGATTTCGACGGGACGCAAATTTTAAAGTATTTAATATTCTAAAAATTGTGAATAATATTAAAAAATATGCTAAACAAAAATAATAAAAAAATTAACAAAAAAAAATCTGTAAAATGTAAATTTACGAGTTAACTCAGGGTGACTCGGACCGACTCGGTTGAGACTATTTGTATCGGAGACTTCTCAACCGAGTTTTCGACGGATCAAATATCTCGAAATCATCTCGTTCCAATATCGTATCGGAAGAGTTCGTTCCAATGTCGTCTAGGTCTCAGCTGAGACTTTGAACCATGATTGAGAGAGACACAGATGATATTTGTGCGCGTGAGTGTGTACTTGTGTGTGTGTGTGTTAAAGCAAAAGAGAGAAAAATACATACTTTGCGTTATAGCATATCTGAGATTGTGTTGTATGTGAAAGAAAAATAACATATTTGGTCAATTTAGAAAATTAAGTGAAGGAAAAAAAAAATTCACTTAAAATTTTGAAGACAAATGAAGGAGTAATTACATTGAGTGATAAGCAATTCTATTATCAAATATGCTTTTAATTCAAAAAGGTTCGGAATGAATTAATTTTCAACATTAAGTAAAATTAATTATCAAACAGGTAAAACTCCGATAGGAGTTCGTTCATTCATCAGTTCTCTTCCCCTCCAAAGTTCCAAAATACGAAAAAAAAAAATTCATATGATACTTTGGACGGATTCAGAATAGTAGTTGGGCCATTCCAACAGGGAACCACAGATGAAATGAGGCAACAACTAGCAAGAGATTAACCCAGGAAGGGTACATAACAACTCCCTTTCCAAAAATAATAGTAATAAATCTATGGAAAAGAAATGATCAGCAATGAGAGATTTTTTTTTGGTTGGTGGGACTGGGGCTGTTTAAGGTGGGGTGTGGTTGGTTTGCGGCAAAACAGAAGGTACTAGTGGTACGTTTTATCTCAACTCTCAATAATGTCAAATTTTTTGCTTAAAGCAATAATTGTTCAGACTAAGAAATGAAAAGCACCACTCATTGATCTCCAAAGACCAGGGCAGGCAGGCAGGCAGGCAGGGGAATAGGGGAGGACCCTAGCTGACCTTACAAGTTCCAAGCCCTTCATTCATTCTTTTTGATGGTGGGATGCTAAGTTGCCGACATGGAACCAAGAACAAGAAACAGCCTCATACATCATCCTACACTTCGAATTTACTTAAATCACCATATGCTGTCCACAAAATCAGCACTATCTTCAACAGTTTCACCGAAACCTACATAGAAGCATAGTAGAAGAGGTATATATATATGTTGATTGTTGGGCTATCTTAACAAGTTTTCTTGAGACTCAATGTACTAACATCTAAACAAAAACCCCCCACAAGTTTAGTGGAGTCGAAAGTATTTCTTTTTTGTGCTGTAACTACTTCAAAAAAGAGCCTACCGACAAGGTAACTAGTACGAGAGAAATATCCATGGGAGAAAAAGGCTGCTGACATTGTACAAAGTTGGAAGGGGGAGAAAAAGGCCTGCCTTTGTGAGTGCCGAATTTCCCCTATATAATAGTAAGAACAGTTTTCAACCTTCAAATCATTCAATCAGCTCTCTGTACAGTTGTTTTGAACAAGAGGATGTATAGTTTCTGATCCATTGAGAAGTACATGAAGCCACCTACTGAATGTGTCACAAAGGAACCAAAACTGGTCCCTACGATGCAGTGCCAGGCTGGTCCATAAACCCCATCAAATTCCTGCAAGCAAGAAAATCAGAACTGAGACTAACCAATTCAAGAACCAGCGTGCCTGCTGATTAGCAAGCGAATTGATCCCCCAAAAGGAAAAAAAAAAAACAAACAAACAAAAAAAAGGAAAGCCCCACATCACAGAACCTAAACCAAAAAGCCCACAATGATTACTGATTGCTCTTTTGACAGATGCTATAGCAGGCAGGAGTACCTTTTTGAGGGTAAAAGCAAGAGTCTTGGAAGTGAATTTTTCCAAGCTATCACGAGCTTTTCTGGCACAATCGACAGCATGAATCTGCATAAAGGGCGGCATGTCAACAGCCACAACCTTGACGCCGGTGCAACAAAAGAAGTCAGCCAACTCAGCTTGCGAGCAGCAAAATGACTTCCTTCTGCCATTCACCGCAAGCGAAATACATGGTCTATTCATTTCACACGACGGCGTGGCTTGATTAGGTTTCTCCAATTCAAGACTCTTCGACATCAAGCCATACGCTTTCTTCACGCCTCTCCTCCCGTCATAGAACTCCTCCTCCTTTTTCTGGGCTGCTCCTTCTCTTGCTCCTGACGATGATTTCTTGATTCTAAGATTAGATTTATGGCCGTCTAATAAAGCCTTCTGAGCTGGAGGAGCATCAGCCAGGGGCTTTTTCTTCTTGACATTAACAAGAGAATACTTCCTGTTGTCCTTTTCTTTAACCTTGGTTTTCGTGCCGTAGCTTTCTTCATTTCCCGAGGCCAAATCAGCCGGTGCAGCTCCACGATGAATTCTTCCGTGCTGGCTACTTGACTTGGTCAAAGCTACGCAGGAGCTGTCTAAAGCAGAGGAATCATCTCTGAGACCCTTTTCTTCTTCTTGATGAAAATGAGCGTGTGGATGTGAGGAGGCTTTTAAGGAAGCAAGAAACCTGTGATTCGCATACAACTTGGCGAAGTGGCTGGATATGTTTTGGATGGTGGTGGTCGTGGCGGTGGAGGAAGGGGAGGCAACAAGAATGGGATCCGGAGGAGGCATTTTTGAGGCGGCGGTGGTGGATTTTGTTGGGTGCTTTTTGAGGAGTGTGGGATCCATGGAGGATAGGATACTACTTTTGGCTTTTGGCTCCCTTAGTTAGAACTTAGAGCTGCTGCTGATGATGATAAGTTGCACCTTTGGGTTTGAGTTTGAGAAGTGGCGTTTAGTTGTTGTTGTTTTGGGGGCTTTTTGCAGGAATTGTTGGGGTCCTAACTCCCCCCTAAGTCCTAGTAGGATAGTGCAATACTACTACTGCTATTAAAGACTACTAAAAATATGATGATGAGGCTATTGGAAGAATATAGAGGCCACTGGTCACTATATGAAGAATGGGTAGAGTGGTAGGATGGGATGACGAATGGATAGATGTAGTTTTCTTCTATCTACAAAAGAGAGGGAATGGAAGGGGATAGTGAACAGGTTTTGAGTTGGAGAAGTGAAGGATATATGGTGCGTTTATGTTATTAGCGGCGGGGAGAGTAACGTAGGAGTTGGGGGTATATGCAATGGATGGGAGCTTTGTGGTGAGCCTGCTGAGATGTGATTTGCTTTTGTTGTATTGTGCGGCGAGTGCGGAGGACGAGGGGATGGGTTCCCCTTGACTACGGAAAGTAATCATCTTTAGTGGTAACTCAATCGGTTGTGTTTGGATTGCATTTTCCGTCATTTTTCATGAAAAAATTACTGTAGCGATTTGATATATGTGAGGGAAAAAGGTGATAGGGAAATGTGATCACGGAAAACGATAATATTTTCCGACGAAAACCTTCAATCCAAGCAAGGCCAGGTTTCTGACTACAGCACGAAGTTTTCCTTTAATTTTAAAAGTTACATCTACATTCCCTACTTTTACTGTTTCGATAATAATGTGTCGATAAAATTGAAGTTTGAAAATCGTAATATGAAATATGAAGTTTGAATTTATTAAATTGTTGAATTGTTAAGTATTAAATTTAACACTCTGAAGTGTGAATCCGTTAAATTACTGAATTGTTAAATAAGTGGTACATTTTAGTGTATGTATATCATCATGTTAAGTAGCGAGTGAAGTACGATCTTTTTTTTTTTTTGAAACAAATTTTGTCTAAGAAATTCAAAATATCACCCATCTCATATGTTTCATTTTGGTTTATCAAAACGCACCTGAACGTGTTAAATTTTGAAAACATTAAGTTAAAATCTTGAATTGGGTTTAAAAAAAAACGCTAAGATACCTTTTTATGTTAGAAAAAAAAAAAGAAAGAAAGTGAGATGAAGAGCTCACTCATCACTTTCATTAATATTATAGCCATTGCAAACGCACCATCGCCCTACCTAACTCATCAATCAAGTCACTTCAATTCAATCCTGAAATTTCCACAATTTTGATTGACATGCTTTGAAAAAATCTTTTCTTCTTTTTTTTTTTTTTTTTTAAAAATGTCACACTCCAAACTCCAATACAAGATAGTCAAACTCACCACCAATACTAACTACACTTACTGATACCAGAGCAAAACCGAAGACCAAATCCCCTAAATCATTAGCCAAACCACCACCACCTATGAGTCTGCAAATCAAAGAAACCCAAATGAATGAAGCTTTTAATAATAGCAGATTTTTATTCCTTATTTTTGTTGCGCAATTGGCATAACAATAATTAATATTATGTAACCCTCCTCAATCCATCTTTGTTTTTTAGGCATCACTTTTATTTTCTATTCTCTACCACTGCCATCCTTATCACATTCATCCAATTCAGTAAAGAAATTTGCTCTGACAACTTGTGATTTGGCAATTTTAATTCGCTAGTATTTGCAAAAAAATGGCGAGGAAAAAGCTCTAGTGGTACGATAACAAACGATTTTTGAACGGAGAAAAGAGAGAACTAGGCATTGGTTGAGAACGGAAGACTGATTGTAGTTGTAGGCTCGTATGATTTTTTTTTTTTTTTTGGAGTAGGAATTAATTATAAGTGAAGGAAGTTAGTATAATTATTCAAAATTGAGAGGTGTTGAATGAAATTGTTAGAAACCTTGTAGCATAGCATGTTTCTGAAATTATCCTTAGTAATTAGCCATCACACTTCACCAGACTAGACCAGAATAAAAATCTGATTTGGACGGGTGAGGAAAATTTTAAAGAATCCAATTTTTTTTTTTTTTTTTTAAAAAAAGAAAATATTTGTTACGCATTATTTTCTCATTTCTCATATTGCCCTAGACTATCGTTACTAGTGAAGTGAGTATGATAAATACAAACAACGTAGCTCAGGGTATAGACTAGACACTAATAAATGCAGGTAGAAGGGACTTACATCTTTTAAAATCTCGCGTTTGAAACTGATGAAAATAAGAAGGGACAATATTGAAAGAGTTTTCCCTCCGTAAAGAGTCTGATTCGATTCAAACATGATTAGTCACACATTCGTTTTACACCATCAACTTTCTCCGCCTCCTCCTCCTCCACATCTTATCTTCTTTTGTTGAATCCACCAAAGGTCCAAAGTAGTAGAAAGCTGTCGTCGTTCAGATAAATTACACTTGTTAGTAGCAAGAAAACCCATTTTTCTGCCTTAAAAGGGAATTCTTCTTAGAACAAACAAGACATCAAATAAGGCTAAATATAGATATGGACACAAACAACAGTCAATAATTTAGTCTTTTCGGCAATAGCATAACAAATAGCTTTGAAAAAGAAAACGGAAAGACATAAATAAAGAGGACATATGTTGAAGATATATATACATATATATATATTGAGGGGTGACTTTTGCTAATGAGTTCAAGATTTTGTTGTGCAGCCCATACATATTTATATAGTGAGTTAGGCTTAGGCAGGAGGGGTGAAGGGTTGGGGGATTGTTTGGTTGTTGCTGTCGTCTCATTCATCTTTCCCCAACCCACAATGCACGTTTGGAAGTTTTACACTCATTATGCGGTAATGGTACAACTCTCACTACAAATATCGGTTGGGGTGTAAGACCCACCGTTTCGAAGCTATGGAACAGGGCTACAATAATGTAGAAGACCACTCAATCCAGTTCCTAGCTTAACTAGGTCGAAAATGCCAAATACTAACCCAGAATTCCTAAAACAGGTTCGCAAAACACAAAAAACTGTAATCAGTATATCTCAGTCCTTACAAGTCCAAATGCCGAAATTCCAAAGGCATATGTTAGCTAAGACACTCAGCTACATTTCATCAGAAGACACCAACTCCAAAATCCAAACCAATTCCAGTCAAAATAGCCAACTACTATCGCAGTTTTCGCATTCTGCTCAAAGCAGAACAGCTACAGTAATTTCGTCATAACTCATTCTACATTAATCCAAATGACCTGAAATTTTGCAGGCACATCAACCTCATCAATACCTACAACTTTCATGTTTTGAGCAAAGTCAAATTCGGCCTCTAACACAGTGATCTAAAACCGGACAGAATTGGGGCTTCAAGAACCCTAACTTTCCAATTTTCCATCCAAATCCAAAATTAGTTGCATTTAACCACATTTGACATCCACTAGAGCCATTTCCAACCATTACAATTCATCATACAAGCCCCCAACATCAAGATCATATTAAACCAGAAAAATTCCCAATAAAATAAAAACTTCACCATAACAAGCCAAATCAAGAAATAAATCACATTTTCACACACTCATGCCACTTCTAAGCATCATATGACCATTATTAGAGGTAGTAGGGTGTTCAAGCAACACTTACCAAGAAATCAAGAGAAAGAGGGATATTGGACACCTTTGATCTTCAAACAAAGTTCACCAATACACTTACTAACACTAGAAGCAAAGTTTTTATGGAGTAGAAACAACTCTAGGCTTTGGTTTGTGGTAGATTGGACCAAGTGGAAGCTTGCAAAATGAAGAAGTTCTTCTCCTTCTTGAGCTTGGGATGGCCGGCCAACACAAGGTAAGAAATGGTAAATTTTTATGATTTTTTTGAGATATTTAACCCTTGGTCAAGAAAGTCAAAATGATGAATAGTATTTCTTTAAAAGTATCCAATAAGAAGGTGACACTTGTCACCTTCATTAATGCCTTCTTATCTTTCTTTTCTCTCTCACATCAATCACTTCACACACACTACTTATCTCTTAACACCCGATAAATTTATAACAGTATCCGAAACTTAACCTTATTGGCCGAATTTTTCCGAACTTTTCGCACTAGTGGGTCCCACGTCCATTATTTATCCTTAATTTTCTAAAAACTCGCCAATGCTAGAAAAATCATCTTAAAACTATAATTGCTCATAAAATCCTCTCAGAAAATATTTCTAAGCCAGAAAATGCAAAATTATGCAATTAAAGGGGAATAAACCCTAGGAAAATAATTAGGGTTTTACGGGCTCTCACACTAGGAATCTACTCCTACCTTTTAGGAAACTAGGGTTTCTTGTCCTTGTGTTCACATTGGCGCTTTCCTTGCTATTCGCCACTACCTCCCTTCCAAAATCGGCCATTCCACCTCATTTCTTACCCACGTTTGTGTCTTACGCTCTTGATTACTCTTGATTATTGGGCTTGAGCAGTATTTCTCACCGACCTAGACCGACAGGTAAAGGTATTGGGTAAGGATCTTTAAAGAGTGTTTTGAGTGATAAAACATGAGAGAGAGTGATACACTAAGGGAGTGAAGTGAGGATATATTTGCATTATTTTCTTGTTACTAACCTTTTGCAGGGCATAAAGAGAGAGACATGGAGCAACAACAATCAACCACAGACTACTCCTTGATGTTCACCGCCATGAAGAACGAGCTCAGGCGAATTAGTGAGCAACAAATGGAGGAGATGCACACTAGGATTGATGAGTTATCCAAGAGTCTCACACGGGGCTCTCGTTCAAAATCCCACAACCGGCATAACCATGGCACCAAAGAGGCAAATAGCGAGGACTACTCCGCTAGTGAGGATGAGGAACGACCCGAGAAGCCTAGAAGGGACACGTCTAAGAATGAACTCAAGGGACTTAAAATTCAAGTTCCCGTATTCAAAGGCAAAAATGACCCTGAAACTTACTTGGAATGGGAAGGCCGCATTGAGATGATTTTCGACTGCTACGAATATAGTGAGGACCAAAAGGTGAAAGTTGCCACCGTTGAGTTCACCGACTACGCTTTAGTCTGGTGGGACCAAGTGAGAACCCATAGGAGGAGAATGGGAGAACCATGAGTCCGAACTTGGCGAGAGCTCAAGGCATTGATGCGTAAGAGATTCGTTCCAAGCTACTACAATCGAGATCTCCACTCCAAATTGCAAACCCTCACTCAAGGCAACATGAGTGTGGAGGACTATTACAAGGAGATCGAGATGGCCATGATGAGGGCAAACATTCAAGAGAATGGTGAAGCGACCATGGCCAGGTTTCTTAGAGGTCTCAATCCTGACCTTCAAAAAGCCTTGGAGCTCCAACATTACGTGGACATCCATGACCTTCTTTAACTAGCCATCAAGGCCGAGAAGGGAAAGAAATTGAGGTGTGGAGCCCGTA